CTACATCATCGTAGACTGTTACTTAACAGTGAACGGTGTGTCTTCTATTTTATCCTGGGATGGTGATTTAAGTTAGTAAGCCAACCACAGTGGCACTGAAACAAGGCTCACCCGAGGTATCCTCCCCCATGGGAATCCAAAGGATTCCCCCCGCAAGCAGTGAGGAATATTGGACAATGGGCTGGACTTTCGGGATTAAAATCAGCTGAAGTTATGAATTCTGTTGATAGATAGTATGCTACTTTTCACCATCAGAATTCAGCTGCTTGTTTTAGCAAGCATGTATCAAATACGAGCCTACCGGACTACAGGGGAGTCTCTATCTCCTGAGTTAATGGAGATTATCTGTGGACTTTTACTCGGAGACCTTCATGCGGAACGGCGTAGCCCTAATGGAAACACACGACTTAGATTTGCTCAAGGTAAGGGGGGGGGGCTAAAGCCCCTTTAGGCCCGGGGGCACGCTACGCTAAAACTTGTAGATAAATCCTGTGTATTCCGTGCTAAGGATGCACAACTAAGTAAGAGCTTGGACGTGGCTCTGGATGAACGGTATCTAGTGGCGTCACACATGCGAGTCCAATGACCAGTTGGTCATGGCGTACGGGTGAGTAGAGGAAGGAACCTGCCTTCAGCTTCGGTTTAATGCCGTAAAAGGAAGGTTTTCGACTGAAGATGGGCCTTTATTGGAATAGATAGTTGGTGGAGGTAACGGCCTACCAAGTCGATGAACCATAGCTGGCCTGAAAGGGTAATCAGTCACAGTGGCACTGAAACAAGGGCCACCCGACCGAGGGTCGGCAGCAGTGGGGGATATTGGACAATGAGGGCAACCTTGATCCAGCCAACTAGATGGGAGATTCCTATTAAGGTTCTATCCCTAAGTAGAGGAGCATGATGAGATATCTCTGCTATCAGTCCCGACCAAACCTCGTGCCAGCAGTCGCGGTAATACGAGGGGGGTTTCCGTTATCCGTCATAAATGGGCCTAAAGAGTCTCTAGGCAGCCCGGTAAGCTTGAGAAAATTGGATGAAGAGATCTGCAGTCTTATCACAGGATATTAACGGTACTATACCCCTTGAGCCAGTTCTATTTAACGGTTTCATTTAACTCCTTCTCCCCCCTCTCTGCCTCCCATTCCCCTTAATCTCTTATAGAAGGGTCTTTCACTAATTCACTCTGAAGCAATAATCTTCAGAAGCCTTCTTCCCTCTTTAGGACTGTGAAGGTAGAGAGGAGTCTTCAAAACCCCCGGGGGTAGTCTAAGACTACCCACCGGACTATTGGCCTTAGAGCTGGCATAAGAACTTCAAGGCCTATTGAGTCGAGTTACCTTTCAACCTTCGCCCTAAGGCGCGGGGGGAGGTGGAAGCAGATCCCTGGCTGCTCATTAAACTCACCTAGATTAGCCTGACAATTTCAGAATATGAAGCTGCTTAAAGCTCATCCACTGCTTTCATTAGTAAATAGCTATCTGATAGACTCCCCAGCTCCTAGTAACATTACCTATATATGGAACTTCGGATCTCTCTTAGGTAGCTGCCTAGTTCTACAGATCATAACAGGGGTCACTCTAGCGATGCACTACTTACCTTCGATAGATGCAGCCTTCTGCAGCGTTGAACACATCATGAGAGATGTAAACAACGGCTGGTTAATACGATACCTACACGCTAATGTAGCCTCATTTTTCTTCCTATTTGTTTACCTCCATATTGGTAAAGCCTTGTATTATGGCTCGTTCAGAGCTCCTAGAACCCTCCTTTGGTCTATTGGTGTAGTTATCTTCTTAGTGATGGTCATTACTGCTTTCCTCGGATATGTCCTACCATTTGGACAAATGTCACTTTGGGGTGGCCATGAAAGCCCCACATGTATGTCTCTGCCTTTCATTATGCCACGTACTAAGGCTACAAACCGTATTGGTCCGCACAATATTGACGTTTTATCTGTTATCTTCGGGTCTCTACTAGGTGATTCTCATGCGGAGAGGCATGGGAATGGGGTTCGTATATCTTTCCAGCAGGAGAGTTCCAATGTTGAGTATCTTATGATGTTCTGGCGTTTTCTCTCTGATAGAGGGTATTGCTCCACTAAAAAGCCAAAGTTACTGATTCGCACCGCAAAGGCCGGTCAACTTAGATACTACTTTAAGGTACACTCTTGGACTTTCTCTAGCTTTATTTGGATTCACTCAATCTTCTACAAGGATGGTGTGAAGATTGTCCCAGATTGTATTGGAGACTATTTCACTCCCTTGGCTCTTGCTGTCTGGATTAAAGATGCTATGTCTTACGGATTGAAGCTGGCTACCCACAATTTCAGCTATAACGATGTCCTTTTTCTCTGCTCCGTTCTTAAGGATAAATACGATATTGTAGCTACTCCTAATAGAAATCGTGACCAGTGGACTATTTACATCCATTCTGAGTCTATGCCTATTCTTCGTGGTATTGTTAAGGATTTTGTAGTCCCTAGTATGTTGCGTAAGCAAGCTTAGTGATATACATAGTGTATTCTCTTAGAGACTGGTGCAACTTACACTAGGAAACCAGTTTTGAGGATATGCGATATCGGCGTTAACGGTCAATACCGCCTCTCTTTGCGCCAAGACCGTCAGTTAAGTGTATGACTGCTACAGACTAGCTCGCCGATAGGTGCCTGCGATGGTGCTTAATGTATAGTCGGGGTTTCTTACTGATTTTCAGTATCTAGGGCTTTAGGTAAATCCTCACTTTAGGTTTTAAAGTACAGTCGATTAGATCAAAGAGAATTTCTCTTAGCTAGAGAAAAGGTCTGATTGAGAAACCTGGCGACTGTGATTACTAACCTTTTATCGGCTATACCTTGGCTTGGTACAGACTTAGTCGAATTTATATGGGGGGGTTACTCTGTAGGCAATGCTACCTTAAACCGATTCTACTCTCTGCATTTCCTCTTACCTTTTGTCCTGCTAATGTTAGTAATCATGCACCTGATTGCACTCCACCAAAATGGTTCCAACAATCCGATGGGAATTAGTAGTTCCCTTGATCGTGTTCCACTTCACCCGTACTATTCGTTTAAAGACTTGGTAGGTTTCTTCGTCTTTTTCCTTGTGTTATCAATTTTCGTTTTCTTCTTGCCTAATACTCTAGGCCACCCTGATAACTACATTCCGGCTAATCCAATGCAGACACCAGCTTCTATCGTACCAGAATGGTACCTGCTCCCCTTCTACGCAATCCTGCGCGCCATACCTTCGAAATTACTAGGGGTAATAGCTATGATAGGGTCCATCTTGATTCTCTTCACCATGCCCCTTCTGGACACTTCACGTGTCCGATCTTGTGCCTTCCGTCCTTTTATGCGTTTACTATTCTGGGGTTTTGTGGTTAACTTCCTTATTCTTACGTGGATCGGGTCACAACACCCAGAGCCCCCTTTTATCACTATTGGTCAAGCGTGTTCTACATTCTACTTCTCCTACTTCTTACTGTTCGTACCTCTCATTGGCTTAATTGAAAATACCCTCTCAGATTTAGCTACTCTTGGTTCTGACCATTCGTCTTATAAGACTTAAAAGCTACGTTAATATAGAGGATAAGGTTCTACTAAAGGCAAGGCGGTATTAAAAGGAGATATGGTTGGTATGGTTGGTATGGTAGCAAGCATAGCAAGGCAGGAGCTGGTGTAGGGATAGGGATGGTAGGTTTAATGTGTTCATTTTCGCGCCACATCAGTTTTATTGGCACTATTGCTAGTTGATCTCTTGGTCTTATGATGAGAATGCTTTTCATTCTCTTCGATTCCCTTTAACTGTGCCTTTTCTTACACCCCTCTTTACCTCTCTTGTATTCCTTTCAGATCAGAAGTAAGTCCCTTCTTTCGTCTGCCTATCGTCCTGGAGTTGGTTACTTCTATCTGGTAGCTACTAGGCTTTAGTTGGGCTGCTTTTAAGGCATCCTTTGTTATCTACTCCTGGGTTAACCCCTTCTTTATGTTACTTATTAAATCACTTCTCCCCTCGGTTGTGTCGTTTCCCTAACTGTTCCTTGGATAGCTGTTATTGGTTACTAGTTACCTATCCCTAGATGGTAGATACCCGGTTATATCTATCCCATGCCTCCTTGCCTCCTTGTTGGGATGAAACTGAGCCTTAATGGGTTCCTGATTTCTTATAGCCTATCTGTTCCCATTCACTGTCCTTTGCTTCACTTGCTTACCTGTTTCTTTGGAATTGGACACTGATTTAACTCTTGTGCCTGCACTAGGCGGGTTAGTTGGAACCTGGTTAAACCCTTGTCACTACCTTAGCCAGCTTAGGGGATGTAGCCAAGACATGGGTAAGGTGGTTAAAGACTTGGTAGATACCTTCCTTTGTGTCTCGTCACTGTTTAAACTCTCTCTTACTAGGATCGAACATGGTAGCGGGGGCCCTAAGGGGCCGGGAGCCGTAGATCCCCCCTACCTTGCTTTAACCTGGCTAACTGGTAGGGTGTTGGGGGGGGCCGTAGGCCCCCCTACTACCAGCCTGTAAAAGGTTCCCTTGTAAGCTGGCTTACCGCTTAAACCCGTAAGGCTGGTTACTCTGCCTCTCCCTTCCCTTGCCTTAGCCTTCCGTTTCCTAGCCTAATGGCCTCCCTTATCACCTGCTTGAATTCAGAATCAGGCCTTGTTGCCTTTAATCCCTAGTGAGTGCTAGGGTGAGGTAACTCTGACCTGTGGTGAGCAGGAGTTAGCAGTTACCCGGGCGGGGGGGCTTTAGCCCCCCCCCCCCCACCCTAAGTGTCTAACTTACTCGATGAAGTAAGTAATCTCTTTAGTAACCTTCCTTATTTCTCTTAATAAAGAGAAGAAATTCATATGTAACCTAAATTGAATGAAAATTCTCTTATGACAAATAGCCTGGTGCTTTACCTTCTTGGCCTCCTTGGTTTCCTTATTAACCGAAGAAGCTTCATAAACTTACTCCTAAGTATAGAGCTAATGCTCCTGGCTACCACCCTGGTATTCTTGGAGAGCTCTTATTTCTTTGATGACTTAATAGGCCTCCCATTTGGTTTATTCATTATAGCGATTGCGGCTGCCGAGAGTGCGATAGGATTAGGAGTGCTGGTAGCCTACTATAGGCTCAGAGGAAGTATAACTTTAGAACAGTTCTAAGGATGCACCCTCTATTCTTTTATTGGTATCTGCCTTAGCCCCGTGGGGGAGTACCAAGGTAACCTCCTTCCTGTTATAACAGGAATGAGGGGGGGTTTGGAGGAGTTTCTTTCCAATATCAAAGATAGAAGTTCATTCTTACGTTTAGATTCGTAGAAAGAAGGCCAACAATACGAGGGGGGGCCTAAAGGCGGCCT